TAGGTAAATTTGCGCATGAACCTATCAATATAGGGACTGATGAATCAAGGCAGTTAGTGGCACAGAAATCGAAGGATTAGTGATTCCATAAATCAGTAGTCAATGACTAGACAGGGTTATTGAAAATTACAAAGAATAAAATGGCGTCTGGACTTAAATCTGAAAAACCATTCTGCCTAGCTAAAAGTAAAAAATGATTTTGTTAGGTAAAACGTACTGAAAATTAAAATTAAGATTAAAAATTGAAAACGAACTGAACTAAAAAAAAGAATGACACGTCATGCTAAAATACATATTCCGAAGTAAAATTAATCCCAAATTTTCCCCAAATGTTAAAATACTTGTCGACAAAGATTTCAAACCGTTTGCGCAAGGTGCAGCAATATTAAAACTTTGTCGTGCAAGTTTACGAACTAAATTTTTACAATCCAAAATAAAACTGTTATAAGAACTATTAATACGAGCTAAACGAACTAACTGACTAATAAATTTACCATAATACTGGCCTTTGGGATTATTCCCATCTAATAGGGATAATTAATGACATCAAAATTATAATCGTTCCTCTTGTCGTAAAGTTTTTTTTAAAAATTTTCCCTTATAAATATTGATAGTGATAGTAAGACTAATATCTAAAAGTCAGTTTCACGAACTGAAGTATTGTTTTTATTCATAATCATCTCTGGAGGATATATTTCACTTAAAACTCGTTCTAATAGACCAAAATCATATATAAGACCATACCATGAAGATTATACTTTTCCGAGCCACCGTTGAGCCTATATTGTTCTAAATCTATGGCTGAGACCCATTGGATATCGGTTAGTTGCTGTTTGATAACTATAAGCGTATCAATGGTTGTTACAGTAAGCCCTCAACAGTTGAATACCATCCCCAAGCCAACAGTGATGATTAGTCGAAGCATAATGAAACTAGCCAAGTATTTAGCGAGACACAATGATGAACTGGCCGATCAAGCACTTTTTGGGATTCCCAGCATAAAATAACAACACCTGTTTCCAAACAGTTAAAGTTAAAGATTATAAACTTACCGTTGCCTAATTCTGAGAACATGGAACGCACACGTGCCAATATGATTTTACGCGCGAATTACCCAGAATTAACTGAAACTGAATGCTGAAAGAGAATCTTATCAGTTATCGGCTATCGCGTCGCGCGGGGAATAATTTTGGTCACGTTCATCATTTTGTGTTCCCTTTTAAATACAATTACCAGTGAAAAACGCAAATTCAACTTGCAAAGATCAATTTACCTGGGTACGGTACCTCGCTCAGGCTTTTGCATTTATTAAGTTAAACACATTGATTTAACATTGAACATATTATGGCGATTAAAAATATGTCTATAGCAGATAGGGCGGAATGACAGGTTTAGCAACGCCCATGAATTATAAGCAGCAAATTCTGCTACTGCTAGTGCTATCACGGAGAATCAAATCAAATATTATAGTGGTACCGTGGCATGTCCATTCTTGGTCAGCGTTGTATAGGTTGCATGGATTAGGATAAGTTCCTGCTTGCTGTTGGCGTTGCTGCGGTGAGGCTGGCTGGAACAATTGTCGGAGAACTCTTTGGCTTCGTTCTCTCTTCACTTCTTTCTCCGCACAAAACTGTTTAATCCGTGGGAGGCCCTGTTTTAACGTTCCTTATGTTCCAAACGTTAAAATCTTTTAGCGAACGCGTTCACAAACTATTTTTAGTGAACGTTCCGTACGAATTCACTACAAGTACAACTAAGCTATAAGGGCAAAATCATCGATTAGAGGCTTTTATCTTAAAGAGTGAACCGGAACGTGAAACAGATCCTATTGCACGGTGGAGAACCAAACTAGCAACTTTTCTATTATGAATACGTGAAATTTATTGTTATTAATTTTTACCTGTCAGATACGTAAAATAACAAAGTAATCTCTCCGTTAGGCGTTCGGGTAGGAGAAATAAGCAAGCTGATAAGAGACAATAAAATTACAAACGTATGCAATTAGTGTGTGGCGTGAGGTATATTTACTTTAATTTTTAGTGCCGACTTTAGCTTCAATGATATCACCGCGCACCGTTAACATACTCATAGTCTGGACAGCACCCTTCTAAATCCGAAAAGTGTCATACTTGTAGTAAATATTTGGTAGAATTCGGTCCAGGACAAGCTATTAAATTTTTTGCTGCGCTCCGGTCTTTCACAGCAGTTTTCCTAATACCGTAGAGAAGTTTTTTTTATTAACAAATAAAACTCGATTACTAGACTCCTAGCCTGATACGAACTAAATTAAAAATTGCTCATAATGAACTTATCATCTTATCATAAATAAAAATAAATGCTGTTAGCTGTGAGCTTTTGCTGGTCCCATGAATATAATTCAATGGATATGATATGATATAAATATTCATATACTTGCACATTTACGAGTCTTCTGAATCTATTATATTACATAATACACGACTTCTCATTTCATAATTCATATCAAACATTTATATACTCATGCAGCGAGAACAAAATATTTAGTGTCGAAACTAACACAAGCAGTCATATTGCCATGTTGTAAAACGGCCGACCGTTTACTACAAGTTAAGTCAAGTCAAATCAAATCAAAACATAGTTTTAAAAAACGTATACGCTATCTGCAACATTTGACATCTAGCACAACGTGCACAGTCTGGTTTAGTCAACAATGTTACCTGGGAACCTCAGGCTATCATGTTCATTAATGAATAGAGATTCGGCGGAATGACAGGCTGAGCGCTGCCCAATAATCAACAATGCAGCTCTAAACGCTGCGGACTTGCTATTATAAAAATTGATGAGCGCTCGATTTGAAATCCCGACGCGCATAAAAACTGCCACTAACTGCTACAAACTGCCACTAACTGCCACTAACTGCTACTGTCGCGCGCAAATGCGTGGGCGCGATTGTAGCAGTTAGTGGCAGTTAGTGGCAGTTAGTGGCAGTTTGTAGCAGTTAGTGGCAGTTTGTGGCAGTTAGTGGCAGTTAGTGGCAGTTAGTGGCAGTTTGTGGCAGTTAGTGGCAGTTTGTAGCAGTTAGTGACAGTTTCTTTGCACTTAGCTCCTCCTGTGCGCGACTTCTGATTCATGAAAAAGGGTGTTTGACACAATTGTAGATTTATTCACATAGCCATGTGTATATGCGTACTGCGGTCCGTGTATACGCGTACTCCGGCGGTCGTGCGCTACTGCAAGCGAGAGGGCTCTGGTTAGAGCAAGTAGATTTATAACCTACCAATACAAGACGCGCGTCGAGTTGTGAGTTGAAATATGATAATTAATCATTGCTCTAAGCAGAGCCCTCTCGCTTGCAGTAGCGCGCGACCGCCAAAGGCGGCAAGTCTATTCTACTTGTGAAAATCTATTCTACTTGTGAAACAAGCGCACGTCACGCAGTACGCGTAGACACATGGCTATGTTGTATGTGAAAATTAATCACTCTACACTCGACTGTCACGTGACCTTTTCAACCCATTCTCTAGCTGACCATGACCCTAAACCCTCTAATCTGATCTCAACCCTAACAAAAGCATGTGCTGAAACCATAACAAAAGCATGTGCTGTAACCCTAACGAAAAATTAGACCAACTTCCTTATATTGTCATATCACGTGGTTTCACCTAACAGTAACAGTAACCATGTGCTTTCGAGCCACTGCGAGCGCGCTTGTTTCACAAGTTCTGTTTTACGCCGGGAGGCGGGCGCCACTGTGCACTGCAAGCGCATGGGCTCTGGATAGAGCAATCACGTGATCGAGACAGTTTTTCGCCAATATCTTGCAAGGGCAGCATTTTAACTCTATTTCATGGGGCCTGGTAGTAGAGGCTCTTACGGGCAAAAAGACGTGTTTTCTGCTACGAGTTTAGAGACCTAACCGCTAATTGGACACAATAGTATGATGTCTAAGGATCGATAATATGTTAAGAAGTATAAATTTGGCCTTATTAGTCACGTGCTATACCAATGCGCGTTTTAAACTTTGACAGTCTATTACTCTAAGGCAAATAAAGTAATTATATCCATATTTTGTCAGCAATAAGATCACATTATTTTCTATTTAGTGTGAAAATATGAGCTAGAACGGACATAATCTCGCTGAGTTATAGCTGTTTGAAATTTATGATGAACGCGCGGGTGCCAATTGATAACAACTAAATGCTTTTGCGCGTAGTGCGCGTCGAAAATTTGGCAAAAACGCTTGCGGAGTGACAATATTCAAACTTCGATTAAGTATATGAAGTGGGTACTTCTCGGAAAGGAAAAATTTAGGCAAACACGATGTGACTATTTTTGGGTTGATTTAATACAACTACAAAAAATTATTCAAACTTAAAGCAAAAAAGTCAAAATTTTTACCACTTTTTTGGATTTTTACCTCAGAACAAATAGAGGGATTTGTTTTATTTTTATACAATCTTGTGCGGCTGTCTTTTAGCTATCTTTATGCAAGTTTTGCCGACATGCCAACAAAATTAACTTGCTCAAAATATCAAAAAACATGGTTTTTTGGCCTATTTTTGGCCCAAAAATCGGTTTTTTTGCGATTTTACCCCAGAACAATCAGTCCAATCATCTTGAAACCACTTTCAATCGATTCTACGGTCAAAAATACGTCTAGTAAGGTGTATCTGGGGTCCCTAACGTATCGAGCAGACAATGCCCGTAAGAGCCTCTACTATGGGGTGATTCGAAATTAGCGTCCGAAAATACATCGATCCAAGTTGGTTTCAACTATCGGTGGCCCTTTTGGAAAAATATCGAAGATCGAGTGTACAGTGATTTAGAACGCTCGCGCCGAGTTGGACTCGACGGTCTTGGACAAATATTTTACGAGTATCACCCGTTAATAACAGAGCCACGTACAACATAAGTGGTCACTGGCCACGGTAGACCCTGCGACGTTGTGCAACAAGTATATTGTACAAGTAGTAGTAAAATACTGAATACTCATTTTTTTGTGGACAAAATAAACAAAAGTATAACGTTAGCATTACAAGAAAGTATCAAAACACGATTTTCATTCATCTTTCGAAGAATGTTATTATGACATAATCTCGAGCTTCACAATCATTGATCAAGGGCATTAGAGGTTAAAATACATTCACAGGAGAGCGACGAATCGTAAGTGAAATATTGGCGTTATTCATATTGTAAGTGATCTGAAAGAATATTTTTTAGACAAAATTCATGCAAAAAGGGACTACATTAACCCCCACTAGCTACGTCAAGATTAAAGATGTTTGGGATTCCTTGAACAGTGAACGAGAAACACATGATACATCATAACTCCATAAGCGTAATCTGTCTAATCAACCCAAATCCAGACAAGTTAAATATCTTACTTATAGACACATGTAAAACAATCGCAACAAAGTCAAAGGAGCTAACAGATGACCAAGCATCAACCAACTTGAACTAGCAACTCATTTTAACACTACCTTGTCAAATGCTCGTCACGTAAACCAAATAATTAGGAAACAGTTCCTCGTGAAGGCGGCTGTTCCATTGGAAACAATTTTCGATAACTAAAAAACTTATTCAGCACCCGTAGAATGTGTTATTAGATACCTCATTTGAAAGAAGGTCCCCTTTTTCAATACAATCCAATAATAAAATAACAAAACCAAGAAGATCTACCACAGCCAAGAAACCCACAAATCATCAATATTAAAAAATATCCCTCTCCGACTTAACATAATCCTAAGCTAATCCTATTAAGATAGAAAATCCTCTAACAGTAACACGTCTATGATTCAACATAAATCATTGCAGAATTGAAATAATTTTCTGCAGAAATCCACGCGTTGCTCCGTTTTTCATCAAACGAAGACTGAAATTATACAAATTGAAATACTTTAATCAGCATGTATCAAAATATACACATTCCATCCGTCCCGAGAGACAAATTCTCATTTTCACAGTTCTTCCTCCCATTCAAAGAAGTGGTTGACAACATACACATTACACAACTCACTTCACACTCTCCGAAAACGAGAGCACAAATATTTTACGAAACTAGAAAAGTCCCGAAAGTTCCCAAAACAATCCCTTAATTGACATCCATTGGTTCGAACCCATTCGATGAACCATTTATTCGGTCCGGTTCTTGCTGTGTGTAAAACAAAACGTATGCAGAGGGAGAGTTACATTTGTCTGAAGTGCAAGAAGCCACGTGAGAATCGTCGTACACATGCCTGAGGGGAGCGTGGCGATAAATCAAAAATGTTTATTATAAACTGTTATTGAATCCTTTTTGAACCACGTATTAACGTATGCATAATCATTTAAACCGAAAATCATTTAAAAAGTATAATGGAACAAAAATTTAGTAAATGTAATTGATAATTGGAGGCCCCTAATGGTCAAGATAAATAATATCAAACCATTTGTCGTCGGCGACACTGTGACAGTAAGCGGTGTAATGACCGCCGCCCAGACCGCCGTAATGGTTAACCACACCCCTCAAGTCATACTTTACGTCACTCTGATCCGTTGATAACATGAATCTGAAATATTGAGTAGAAAATCTACTAGTCTAGATTGAGTAGCGGTAACAATGGGAATCCTTTGAATAACACCAAAATTTTACAGTATGTCGACAAATAAACTTTTAACTTACTTCTTTAAAGATAAGTCGTGATGGGGGAATTTGACCATAGTTTCAATCTTGTCACGCCAATGCCTGAAACAAATAAAATTGAGTGTCCGGTTACCTGGTAACCACGCCAAGTCACCATTACTTGATATGATATTTACAACGATAACATCTACTAGACAACTCAGTGTTCATAAATTCATCTACTCGGATTCCTGAATACAAATAGTCACTTAAACTCCAAATTTTACAAAAATCGATTCAAAATTAGGGCATAGAATAATTGAAATGAGATAACATAAAATAAACGCACAATCAAGAGATAAAGCCAGAAATCAAAAACAAAAATCAAAGAACGAAAAGTGGCTCAAATCACTTATTTCTGTTTCCAGGAAATCTACATTAGAAGATGTTTTGATACACATTGTTTCATTTTTCTCGCATACTCCTAACATTATCACATGCTAGTATCACAAGAAGATGGTCCAGCCGGACGATTTCTCCTCACAACCACACTGCGCTGTGGCTGACGTAGAGTTGGAGGGGTTTCACCAGGTGAGCACATTCCTAACTGTCGGGCTACCTTGCGGACTCTCGCCACGAGGAAGTCTCTGAAACTTCTCACCGTCAGGGAGTACACAAAGAAGTTAGCCACAATGTTGACATTCTCCAGGAAGGAACATGCACGGAGAATGGAGCTGCCGGGATTAACTGAGGTGAAGTGATCTATCAGGGGAACGATCATGTCGGGCAGGTAGGATACCAGGAACACTCCAGAGGTTAAAGTTACAGTTAATATCCCCAGCCAGCGGACAGATTCACTGTGTCGCCTAGCTACTTGTTTTGCTTTGAAAAGCAGGAGCACAGATGATGTTATCAGGACAATAAGCATACCTGAAAACACAGTATAACCAAAAATGAACTCCACCCAGCCGAGCCAAATTGGGACGTCAGATAAGACATGATCAACGTTGCAGATATAGTTGATATAATCGAAGTAAAGGGCTTCCAAACTCATAAAGAACATGTGGGTCCACTGGTGGGGCAGCAGTACACAAACCAGCCAGACAATCCCACAAATAACATGAGCTCGTTTTCTTGACCAGATCTCCGTTTTCAGAGGACGATATACAATCAGCAGCTTGCACGTGGAGAGGACGCAGGTCAACAGGGCAGTGGCAGGGGTGCAGATAAAAGAAAGGTTCAGGTTTACCAGACAGAGGATTTTACCGAGGATCCAGCCTTCCGCAACTAGAGACACGATGATGGGGAGTACTCGGAAGACTGTTAGCATGAGGTTACTAACTGCCAGATGCTGCATACTTACAATTCTAAGGTACATAATTGAATTCTAAGGTAAATTATCATTAAAATGCGAGGGAAACTTTATCAGCGAGATGCCCCATGATTTAAGTGCTTAGTTAACGAATCCATGATATGGAATGATACAAATTTCTGAGCAACTATAGGGGATGGGCATGAAGTTGAAATACCGTGGTAGATCATCCTGAAATCAATACGACCTAGAAAGTTGAGATGATTTTACATCAGCATGTGTTATGATATTGGCATGTACTCAGTTAACAAATTCATGAAAGGGTAGCTAGTAGCTACATTATAGGGTAGCTACACAGCTGATGTTATTCAGCTGCCGAGCAAGTGTTATGGTACATTCCATGGTGTTACACTACATAGTTGTTAGAGTCTAAATGGCTAAAAATATTGGAACATATTAGCGGTTATTTCTAACACGGACTATGAGTTTTTAAGAGTTTAACAGTATTATATATCCAAGAACCAAGAATACCGACTTTTTAATATAAACTTCTGCAGGAAACCTAAAAGACTTCCAAGTGACATAATCGGGCTTCTTGGATACTGCTGAAACAACGCTAACTTTTCTTGGAGGAATGTACATGTTTGTTCAGATTGTTATTTTCAGTTGAAACTGACGCCTTAACCGTGCGTTCAGTGTGCTTAATAACCGTGCGTTATGTGTCCATCAACAGATAACCGAATTGCCTTGAAGCTATATAGTTGAACTTGACAAAAGCATCGGTCGATACTTCCAAGTTTAACACCGATCCATTCCTCAATCATTTTGAAATGGATATTTCTGTATTTTGACAGTGATGGTACACTTTTCATCTTTAAACCCTGATCTACAACCTTTTATGACCTCACCACTCACCATCCTACTATGTACGTATGTCTACAGTTCAAATTTAAATGACCAAACATAACTTTTAACTATACGCCACACAGCACACGCCCTACAAGTATTGTGTCACCCACCTCGAATAACAGAATCGCTTGAGATGGATAACCAGGACCTTGGGTAACCTCCATAAATCCAACTTCTTGCTGGCCTGCTTGAAGTCCTTACAATTAGGGCACCACCACATATTGTCCTCGTTTAGTGTCTCCTGTTTGCAGTACATCTCAATACAGTCCTCCAGGTTCACCTCGTTCTTACGTGCTTTAGTTGTCCGGTAACTGTGAGGAGGTTTGTTTAGGTCACGTGTTGTTTAGGTCACTTGTTGTTTAGATCACGTGATGTTTAGGTCACGTGTTGTTTAGGTCACGTGTTGTTTAGCCTTTAGGTCACGTGTTGTTTAGGTCACTTGTTGTTTAGATCACGTGATGTTTAGGTCACTTGTTGTTTAGGTCACGTGATGTGTCGTTAAGGTCAGGTGTTTTGTTGTCTAGGTTACAATATGAAATCATGAAAATCGCGTGTAAAGTGTTTGTTTAATGTTTGATATCGACCTATGATTTTACATGTCGTCTTATCTATAACTGTCGCTTTAAATATTATAATCGTATCATAATCAACTAACTAAATAAAAGTCTAATTATGAGTAATTACCTATCATGATAACTAACTAATTAAAAGTCTAATTATGAGTAATTACCTATCATGATAACTAACTAATTAAAAGTCTAATTATGAGTAATTACCTATCATGATAATCAACAGCGTTACATTCGTCAAGTTTGAAATATTCGTCTTTGGCATCCATATCCCACACTAGAGCGATGTAAGCGACTAGGGAGATTATTGTTAGGATAACAGCCAATAAGCAGGATCTCACCAAGAACCTTATCAACACTATTAATGATACTTTAATCAAATTACGTAATCAGTTCGGATTTAATTGATATATTAAGATGTCAATGTAACAAATTTATAATGGATAAATGAAATTTAATCATGTCCAGTATTCACGAAAGTACGTGAAAGCGAGGAAACAATAAAGAAAAACAAAATAAATAAAACAAGAAGTTAAGTTAAATCGCCAGAATAATTGAAATAAGAAAATAAGCATGATAATTTTAAGAAAATAAGTAAAAAACGGAAAAATACCAGGTTTGCCGGAGGACATGGTTACAGAGAGATTATCGTCCTCGTCACACAAGTCATGTGACTGTTCCACTCCGAACTGGTTCACTGCTTTAATCTTAAAGGGAAGTGTTTCCTCACTTTGTAAGGCTTCGTCTGTGAGCTGTACGTACCGACTGTGGTAAATAGTTCCTTGGGTTATATCTCACGGAGTAAGTTTCTAGACCTTTCTTTATAACCGGATTTTTAAACTTAGTTCACAAGTTAAATAACCACATTTATGATTTATTGAGTTAATATATAACGGAAAACTTTTAACTTGGTTTTTGTCTAAACCCGGTTCTGGCTATATAGAATATTAACCTGCGTCACATCGCTTAATGAGGAGCAAAAATATAAAAAGTCTAAGTCTCGAAAATGTGGGCAATATATTGAAGTGAGAAAACAAACATAGGCGCGGTCAAATACGTTGAGGTTAGAAAAGCGGTTATCTCACCTCATTTTCATATAAAGTGCGATGACGAATTCTTTGTAAGACATTTCCCTCTTGGGTACTTGCATGAGTAGTGGGTTCCCGAAGTACTTCAAGTAGGACGTGTACCTAAAAGAGTGGTGGTTATTTGTACTTCAGACAGGCCAACTAGCAAGTTAGCAGCAACATGTATGTATGTCGGTTGTAAAAGCCTTGTCAGATGAAATATGCCTTTGAGATCGTACTGTAAGAGTCAGATTTACTGCAAATAGAGTGGAGGGTGTAACATTCGGTTAACTGGGAGGCAGCTTTCATCTGACGAAACTAAACATGATATTGATATGAATTTAAAACAGTGTTAACTGTTGAAGCTGTATTAAATAGACAGACACCAAAGTGTTGATAAGATGATGAAAACCAGCTTAAACCATCGAACTCCTTTGGCAGGTTTTAAACCTAAACTTTTAAATCTAAACCAAAGACACGTAGCAAAATACGTACACAGGAACTGGTAACATAGCGACCCTCTCCCGGAAAAGGGGGTGCTACACAAACCAACTATAACACAGAAATTATACGAGTAAACGGTGAGCAATTTCCACAGTTTTTAACAAATTTCCCATTTTTACTACAAAAAAACTTCCTCACTAAACTCTTTTCTCACCCTCGATAAGTGCCTCTGAAATATTTACAGTTCGTGGTGCAGTTAAATGTTGGTACATGGAGACATGTGTATTAAGTATTAAGTGAATATACCAATAAATGTGTCTGAGACAAAATGGTAAATTCTCATAAAGTCCGGACTTAAAGTTAAAATGTTATCTTACCCTTTATAAGCGTTGTAAACTTTGATGACAGGAAGTTGAGGTTCCCGCTCGAAAATACAGAGTGAATATCTGCCATCCCTGATATCTCTTAGTTTCTGGGTTGGACTTATAGTCGACTCAATCTGACGAGGGATACCGTACTAGTTAAAGCGAGAATATCAATTTTAACTGTAACCTTATTTATTACAATTTAGAACTTATCCCGTAACAAATTACTCGCCAGTCTCCGTAATTCAGCCAAGAAGCGGCAATTTAAAATGTGCACTTTAAAGTATCTTTAAAACTCACGATAGACTGAGAAAGTTCACACAACATCATCCTGTCAGCTGAGAGTCCACACACTTTCTCAGCCGAGTATAGCAGGTCTATAACTTGTCCTTCTCGGGGTGTTATTATTTTGTACTGAAAACATAGATCTGTTTTTACATCTGTTTTTGTGTTCTGTTGTGCAATGCTAACAGAGAGGTTGTATGATTTCGGGTGATTCTTCTTCAAACTTTTACACGAATAATCAAAAAGTTTAAGAGCTAATAAAAACATAATGTTTGCTAGATAATATGCGTATTATGAGTTTCACGGTTATTGAGCGATGAAACAGACAAGTTTAAATGTAGCCTACTCGAGTTCTCCGTCTCTCAGGATCTAACCAGATAAGATCTATTTCTCGTATCTTTTCTTCTTTTCTCGGCAGTGATACGGACATGTACATTAACGGGTCGAAAATCTTGCTGACTTTCATACAATCCGGACATTCCAGCCTAGATCTGTATTGACCTGAATAAAAGATTAAATTTAAACATGTTTTATAGATAAAAGGTAAAGATAACGAACTTAAGGGGACATACACGCACACTATAATCGTTTATGATTTAATTAGCCAAATGACTTCGTATTTGGAAAATAATGACACAAAAAATATCTTTTGGCACTTTCTTATTTTTTGAGAGTTTGAATTTTCGGAAAGATTCGAAAAGGGCTCAAAACGTTTTTTTCCCGAACTTTTAATAAGTCTGTCACTATAATACTGGTTTTTTGTCATTTATTAAGGCATTATTTTTACTGAACCTCAAGAAAAATTCCTACAAGTAATTCAACAAAGGAATGTTCGATTGAACAATAGATTACCAAGCCGATTAAGACTGAGTCAAGAACAACTACGTTTTGTTGCACCGACAAAATTGTAAATGCTACCAAAAATACAGTTCTTAAGATATCGTTCCATGGATTCTTGAAGGTGTAGCTGAAGGTCATGGACAAGTATTTCTAGCCGGATTACGTAACATTCAAAAAGTGCCAACCAAAACACATTTTTGAGTCTATATTTTCCCATTATGAAGTCATTTGGCTAGCCAAATCATAACCGATCTACCATCAGCGTTACACATAACCATTGTGCAGTGTGCACTTATGAAGTCAGGTTAACGAACCTTATGTTTAACGTTGTTGATCGATTCATTTACCAATCTGCACTTCGTAAGTGAAGATTGGCAATGTTTAACGCTGATTCTCTATTTATTTTGTGTAATTTAAAGTCAGTGCGTTTTATCTGTTTATCACCTTGACTCGTAGTAAACGACTTAGAGCTATACAATTCTCTAGACGGATATATTATTATGTTTAACACTATTTTGTTTGTTTAAATCAAACAACAAAAAGCTGACTTTTATCATTTTATTCTCTTACGTATGCACTGTATTAGTCTCATCGGCAGAGACATTGTGACTGTAGAATTGATGGTGAACAAATTATCATCCTTACCGTGGAAAAGGTCGGTGATGATAGAGTCGTTTCGTTTCTTGTGGTTGTCCCATGATCGCTGTGCTGCTACCTGCAGACATATAATGAGACATTACTTCTAACAACATTTAGCGCAATTATTGAGTTAGAAGACCCTCTTTACATGGCCTATATTTCTAACAACATTGGATTCAGTATTTGTTCGATATTTGTTTGATACCGGAATCTACGGATTCTCGAATTCGGTGTCAAGGCTTGTTCAGGTCAACAGCTCGTATGGTCCTCAAGATTTTAAACTAACTTCTTTTGAAGTCTGTTCGATTAAGGTGGTGGATGTTATGAATATTGTTCTGTCTTGACAGTAAGAAACAAATATCTTAAATATCTTAACAAATATCTTAATATCTTAACAAATATTTCATAACATTAAATAGTTACGATATTTTAATTACTGACTAAATTTGCGTTAACCGTCACTTTGAAATTAATTTTACCGACACTAAAGACGGCCAACAACGAAGAAACGGAACACATGAATAAGTTATTTATTTACACTGTCAGCGGTATTCTCGGGCGCGTCCTCCTGGTTGATATACGGTTTGTTGGTGATCCTGTTCAAATCCTCGTGCAGGCCGTCCAGCAGGAAGGCCATCAGTTCCTGACTGTCTTGTTGGAGGTAACCACTGAACTGGGGTGCACAGCGACCAAGAACAGACTGAGGGGGAATGTAGGGTTAGAGTAGTGGGTTAACAAGGAATTCTCACAGGGAGACTAATATCAAAACAGAGGATGCTCGGATCAAACATCTCATGGAAAAATAATTGGAACATCCATAATCCTATGAAAGTTTTCAGCGGTTCCTGATCAAAACAGTGGTATGAATATTCTTAAGTTGACCTTGAAGTGGCGAGGGGCGACGGTGCTACTGTTCCCACACCACATTTGTTTCATGAGGTCCCCGTATGCTCGGGCCAAGTCCCCTCTGTTTCCAATAGGGTTCTTTTCATTGATTTCACTCTCATAAGCGTCACCTGCAGAATAACGTGTTACGATTGATGAAAATATTACCAGGAATGCAGATTTAAAAAGTACCAAGTTCAGAGTGTTATGATTAATAAGTGTTCACAAATTCAAATCACAACACCAGAAATATCCATTGTCCGCCGGTACTCACTGATAAAGAACTGGGTAAGAGCAGGAATGTTACTGAGACACTGCAGAGCAGAAGCCATGAAGCAGGTGTTCCCCAAGTTGTTGAGCCCCACCAACCCTCCGCTCACACTCCGCGTCAGATTAGCCTGGGTCATGCTCCGTGTCGATATCGTGTCTGTGTCCACGGTTCTGTGGTTGAGACTGAGGTAGAATCTGATTTTCAATTAGCTCCTATGTATATATTATGTGCTGTGTTGTGTGTCTCGGAGTGTGTCGCAGAGTAGCAGACTTTATAACAAGTTAGCGTTGTTATATCTCTGTCACTAATGCTTCTCTTCAATCTGACGTTGCAAACTTTCTACGTTTCATTACTACGTGAGTAACGTGATGAGGGAAATGTGATCTAGTGTGTTTATGGAAGGGTAGTGGTAATGGTGGGATAAAAGTGGCTTCTTAACCACGACAGTCGTTATCATTTGATAATGACGCACATCTGATAAGTAACCGTTATTACAACATATTCAATATTTATACCGAATCAGACTACTTAATAGACTAATAGATTACTGGTTAGTAGTTGTGAGGTTACACATACCTACCTAGTACCTACTTATGTGACCTACAGGACAAGGACTTCCAGCAACTTCTCACCAGTAATATAAGATAAATTATAAACTAGAGCAACACTGCTTATTTCCTTTAATGTTAATTCTTCGTCCGATTGCATTCTTGACGTCGTGTCTCTTTGCATTCTAAATATTTACTCGCTAAATTGCGTTTTAAGGCGGACTATTCTTAACTTAATACATTTCTTCAGACTTATTGTTTTAAATTTTAAAATAAATATTTGGCGACCCACTCTCCATAACAGGCGAATGACAATATCAATTCCCCCGATTGCACTGTAATATCAAGCTGGGTGTTACTTCTCAGTTCTCGGCCGAGCAAATGTTTTCTCTATTTTTGCTCCACTGCCTCAATCCTGATTCCTGCTGCCTGCATTGGCAGATCGTTCTCCGGCAGCCTCCTGACATTTATCAGGCTGATATAGTATAAGTGCTCGAGGAATTTTATAATTTGTAGTTATAGTGCCTGGAGCATTTGACCTAAAGTACTAACTTGAGCAAGGCTTGAAGCTCTATATTAACATACCCTTCTGCTTTGAAAACTAGACGCTTGTTCCGGAAATTTCTATGATGGATTTACACGAAAGTTTCACACCAATTTCGTTAATTTTGGTTGATATATCAGAAGATTTGTTTTTTGGTACTAAAAACTGTCATTTTCTTCAAAAAATTTTCCGTAAGAGCATCCTTTTAAGAGCATCTAAGAGTCGACGATGGAATGTCTCGTTTTTAACACCTTGCAACTGTTGCCAAGGAATTAAAATTAGAAACTAGTTTTCGGGAAGGTTTTAGTGAAATATATACTGTCATCACATATTATTAAGCTTGCAGAGAATGTGGGAACTGAAGGCTTTCTAAAATTTCTAAATGTCTTTGCACATTTTGACACGTTTTCATTTTGAAACTATTATTATATACTTCCCTTACTTAACAGCACTCAGCAGACCGTCTCGGACTTCAGTACACTATATTAGAATATGCAGTTCGACGATTCCACTTGTTTTGCATTAACATATCATCATAACTTGTTGAAAATTAGAAACTTTACTACCCCTCACATTAGCAGCTATGATTTACAACTGGCATTTTCAGTTCTCTGCAGAAATTGTAGTGCAATGGAATGAAGGCAAGTGTTTTTGAAAACTTCTCTGCGGTTCGATTTTAGATTATTTAGATCTGTTGATTATACTCAACATATCGCAAAATTGAAATTGAAAATAATATCTCCACTTCGTATCATTTTAAATACCGCTCTTTAACTTAAACGATCTTCATAAGATGATAATTATTATAGCACTGTTTTACAGTTAAGAGAGGTGCAAGATGCAGCAATTTACCTCGTAACATAGAACTTTCCAGGTAGTCCCCATAAGATACATGTGAGGAAAATAAGACGAGACTATCCAGATCATCTTAACAATGGACAGCGACTAAAGTTCAAGCCCAAGACTACTACTTATAGGGAGGAATATGTTGAGACCAAGTCTTTTGATAATGTAAAAATCAAACGACGCTGAATATGGCTTTTTGTTAAAATGTTATGAGTAATATCTTTAAAACTGATAGTAATTGTTGTGCAGGGGTTTGCACTTTGCATATTAGGTTATAAATTCCGTCGGGAAAGTATTGTGTAACCTGACAGATAGAAAATTCTGTGTTGAAAGTGGAGAATGTCAAATTAATTATGTATTCAGGTTTACATACCATTATGCTCTAATGCTAACAGAACCAAGGCATGTCACAGTTTACAGAAATTGCATTGTTATAATAAAAATTAATTTATGTTAGCTTTGATACATTAGGCTAACTGGGTTTTGCGCCAACACCCATCTATTGAACCGAATCCATAAATTTTCAAATTAATATTGGGAATATTCTTAAATTATGTTACTAACTTGCTTGATCCAAAAGCAGATGATGAGTTTCTCTCAAACTGAAATTAGAAATCACGTAACTTTATCTCTTACATTTTGGTTGAAAACTCGTGCTTATTCGTAAAGAAATTTATGTGCTGGTATTGTTGTCTTATATCAATACAAATTCATATGAAATTATATTATTACTCACGTTGGTTTGAACTTTAGCAGCAGAGCTGTATTTTTCGCTCCAAGTTCCATCGCTTTGTTTCGTCTCCAGTATCACAACCTGAAAGTAGTCGTTAGAAATTGTCAAGAATTAAATGTTTCGCCCTAAATATACCTTAATGAATAATGAAGCACTCTAAGAACAGCACACGCTTTCATCAAACGTTAAATTATTGAATCTCTTTAAACTATCGAAGTTTCAGAACATGTACATGCTTCGGAAAATTCTGGAGAAGGGTAGTGGGAAAAACCCAGGCATACCAGGCGCTTCATTCAAAAGGGTGAAGTTACATAAATGTTTACCATACCAAATTATCTCCACTTAGTGTGAAGTTCTCCAGTTTATCTTGATCATCTTTTAAAAGAATAAAGTTATTTGGTAGCTTCTTAAGCCACAGTCGTCTTTCAGTGTCTTTTACGTGGAAGATTTCGTCCATGACCGTCTTCAAGTTTTCTGAAGTGAAACTTGTAACCGCTCAAATTTCTGATATGCAGATAAATTTTGCATTTACATGTCAAATGGGCGTGTTGTCGCCGATGTAAGCTATCAAATTTGAATGTTTATTAGTGTAGAATGTAAACAAAACCTCAATGATTTGCTTACAATAGACAAAACTAAACAGTTTTCATCGCCACAGCCGCGATGTAGTGGATTGGATGTTGTCATGCTTATTGCTTAGTACATTTAACAATCGTATGAGAAGATTGTATTAAAATTTATAATCATAGTGACGATTTTCGAGTCGATGCGTGATCATGACATAGTACTAATAGACGTTCAGAAACGATTTCATCGATAGGTCACAAGGAACGACTTCAACGACTTTAAATTTATTTCAATTGGATCGACGAAACGCGCGTGACTAAATGCTGTAAACGCGCGCAAGTAGAACTTTTTATGATAAAAATAAAGTTGCGCGCTACAAATCATTCACATCGCGAGGCCTATGTGGCCCTGACGAGTTACACTGCTAAACCACCCAATCAAGGGTCTTCTATAATCAATAAATTATCACTATTGACAACAAATATTAGATGCTTAACGTTGTTAATGAGATGATTAAAATTCAATTACAAATACGCCTAGATAATCGTCATTAATCAGAGACACCAAAGTCCATTGGCTAGATCGAGAATACCTATTTAGGAAATGTATCGCATTAATGTAAATCCAAGATGACAGTAATGTGAAACCAAGCAGTGTGAACTGATTTGATGTACTTACCAACAGTATCACTCTTACTCAAGATTCTCTTCATCTTTATCTCACCAAATACCATCTCGATCTTTACACCGGAGAGATCTATCTTGAGCTGTTTAGAGAATTCCCCAAATTCTATAACCTGAAAATTGGGAATAGAGCCTACATGTCATTGGTGCATGATGTAAAATGATCCGCAGTAGGATTTCAATACACTCCAATTTGTTACTTAAGTGAACGGTGTAGATAATTTAGGAATAGAAACACAGTTTCTACAATGGGCCAAACATTCAACTTATTTACGGAAGTACAAGTAAAATGAAGGTAGTGAAGAAGAATAAGTAAATTTCACGTCGCCACCCATATCACACCGCATAAGATAATCATAACCTGCTCATCTGAACTAACCTGACGTTTAATGGCAGTGTTTTCGGTCGATGTTCCGTACTTTTTGACTAAAAAATTCCAACACTCCAAGGGAACAAACACAAAGTCTATGTTCTCCAGCATCTCATCTCGTACTTCCGATATTTCTGCGTCTGAAAAGAAGATATATGGACACGTTCATTGAAGTTTGAGGAAATTGGTAAATTTCTAAAACAGCGTTTTTGACGATAGTGGTTTAATTTTAACATATATTAATCTAGCGTGTTCATAAGTTCTGAACATTAGCCACGTGACCCATACTCCCATATGCACTGCTCAAAAATAAAATGTATTGCTTTTAGGCACTATTATGTAAAAAATGTCACATTTTTGTGACATTGTTTACCATAGCTGCCCAATTAGCATTTTTTGGTCTAAAATATAGTAGATTAGGTCAATCTAACAATTATGATACAATGTAGGCCTAAAGGGCAGTGATCGAACGGCTTTAAGGCAACATTTCGTAAACTTTGTCACACTCAGAATACGAGACCTCTTTTCTACTGTGAGATGTCCTCAAAACCCTTTCAACTCATTATTTGATAGTTCTTCTGCCAATCATAGCCCTAAAATATGTTGTTTTGAAAAGTTAACAAATACATGCACTTGGCTATTGGGAAATTATGTAAATTCTGTCACATTATATGGAATTTGAAATTCTGGGTGAATTTCCGAAATCATTTATATCTGATTTTGGTTTGGAAGGCGGGAAAACTCTATTATGTGAGGACGATACACGGATACAGTTGATTGAAGAATAGGGCAGTTGATGTAAACATCGTCACAAAATGATACGAAATCCGAAATCGTATATAGACACGTTCATGTTGAAGTTTAAGGATATTGGTAAACCAAAAAAAATAGCGTGTTCAGAAGTTCTGGACATTAGCCAGTAGCCACGTGACCCATACTTCCATATACACGGCTCAGAAATACAATTTATTGTTTTTAGGCACTATAATGTAAAAATGTCACATTTTTGTGACTGTGTTAAAGGACCAGTTAACTGAAAAATTTGTAGTCTCCAATTTGGCTAAGATTTAAATCAGCTGTGACAAACTGGTAAAGAATCGTATCGCCGAAAGAACCAACTCTCTAGCGTACGTGTAACGCGTGTTATTGCAATAATAAGCTGTGGCCTCGTGACGTCACGAAGTCCCTCAGTGCGCGCTGGCATAGCGTAATACGTTGCAAATGTTTATCGTTGTCATTAAAACACATGTAACTCACTTAAATTTTAGAATTATGACTATTACCCTAGTTCTCCCAAATCCTTATAGTTTTGGCTATCATCCTAACTAAAGGAATAGCTGATTGGATGTACAGTGCTCACGTCATGATTTTAAACAGTGATATAGGTTCTTGAACAGTGGCGGGTGAATGTACGGTTAGAAAGTTTCTGCTATTACAGTTCTTATGTCATATGTGATAATTTCGGATTGTTTTCATTGCTTAATTACACAAGCAGCCAGCAGGGAGACTGTACCGATTATTTTTCCCCAGTCCATGAAACTCTAACGAATTTAGAAATGATCTAGATAAGTAGGAGTTTGTTCAATTCCGAGAGCAATTATATTTCAGCATAGCGAAATTTCTAATTTTAATCCGCATGTGTCAGCCAGTACAGGAGACAAGAAGTCTGGCTACTTTACGGCCGTTCCTCTGGGACCATCAGTAGAAGTAGCTTCTATCAGAACAGTGCCGTGGGAACAGAATTCCCGCCAAAATACCCGGTCTACCAAATAGTAATACAGATTGGAGTTCGAGTGTACGGTGTGCGGTGTGTTTTGAATTAGACTTGCGGCTTACCTAGTTGTTATCCTAATTGCATTATCATCGGTACATAACATAAATAAACTACTGGTAAGTTTAAATACCAAGTGCAAACGTGTTCAGTCGATCGACCCACTGAACAACTATAGAACTTCCAAGACCCTATTATTCTTTGGCCATTATATATTACGGCACGATCGATTGTTAGATGGTTAAAGTTAAACGACCAACGCTAATCTATACAATTCTAAAACTATGAGCTAGCACTTTAATCTAAAAATACACTTTTTATATTACTCCTGATTTTTACATTTCACGTAAAACATTGTCGCCACAGGTTGATCATGGACACTAACAGCTTAATTTGAGATAAATGACTTATGAGTTTCTCTAAAGTTAACTCTAAAGTTGTGCAGTCCAGTCATTTTTGGACATTTATGGAAATGAACCTTCAAATGTTCAGATACTAACGAAACTTTGCACAGACCTTCCCGAAGGTATGAATGAACGATTTTCGTTTGGAGACATTTTTTTTGACAGTGGAGAAAACCCAGGAGGGCCACGCCCATATTGACCCAATAACGTAACCGACCCCTTGCTTCTGAAGGTCGTAGAGACTTCAAAATAGGCTTAAACGAAGCCGCATATGCATGTTTATATAGGAGTTATTGAGCAACACATGGCCTAAAATCCATACTTTTCGAGAAATTCGCCAAAAACCATTTTGGGCGTGGTGCTGAGCCCATTTTCGATAGGATCGTGATAGAGTCTTTAGACAGGGTGCAAAAGAACCGCAATTAGCATATTAATTTATGACTTACGAACAAACATATGCCTTAAAGTGCTTACTTTTTCAGTTATTGGCGAAAAACTGATTTTCGGTTCCAGAAATCATGCAAAACTATGGGTATCTGGTAAATTGGGCTATGAAGGCCCTAAAGGTTTTTAAATGTGTGCAAATTGTGCAGAATGGCCATGTTTATATACAACTTATGAAGCAACATGTACCCTAAATTACTTACTTTTCGAGTTATTCGGGGAAAAACATTGTATTATGTCCATTTTCTACCTGTAAAATACAGTCTCACGGGCTCCTCTGCGCGCGCAAGGGACTTCGTGACGTCATCGCCAAAATAATACAAACGCTATTTACACGCGTTAGAGAGCAGTTAGAGATTTAGGAATTTCGACTCGTTGCTTAGTTTGCTATTTGTCACAATCTGTCAAAATATGAGGATAACTTTTTTTTCAGTTAACTGGTCCTTTAACCATAGCTGCCCAATTAGCATTTTTGGTTTAAAATATAGTAGATTAGGTCATTCTAACAATTATGATACAACATTTGGCTAAAGGGCAGGGATCGAACGGTTTTAAGGCAATATTTCGTAAACTTTGTCACACTCAGAATACGATACCTCTTTTCTACTGTGAGGTGTCCTCAAAACCCTTTCAACTCATTATTTGATGGTTCTTCTACCAATCATAGCCCTAAAATATGTTGTTTTGAAAAGTTAGCAAATACATGCACTTATTGGGAAATGATGTAAATTCTGTCACATTATATGGAATTTAAAATTTTGGGTGAATCGCCGAAATCATTTATATCTGATTTTGGTTTGGAAGGCGGGAAAACTGTATATAAGGACGATGCAATGCACGGATAGAGCTGATTCAAGTTAAGGGTAGTTGATGTAAAAATTGTCACAATAATAATAAGGGCAGTTGATATGAAAGAAAATCTATCTAACTAATGCAATGGCCGATGTGACGAAATTTACATTTCTTGACCCTATTTTGAAGAAACATGCCTCGATTAGAATTCAATATTCTTCCAGGAATTATTAGTAGGTTATTATTCAGCAAATCAGAACTCAAGTTTAACAATTCTGAGTTTAATCTTACTAAGTTACCGAAATGTGACGAAATTCACTTTTCCTGCCCCAACAGTATAATTTCAATGTGATGAAAAATGGGCATGGGTTTCTATATTTCCTTATCTCTGAATTAATCATTTCAAACTATAATTAGGACTGTTGATGTGAAAGAAAGTGTATCTAAATTTTACAATGACGTATGTGACAAAATTTACATTTCTTGACCCTATTTTGAAGAACCATACCCCAATTAGAATTCAATATTCTTCCAGGAATTATTAGTAGGTTATTATTCAGCAGATCATCAGAACTCAAGTTTGACAATTCTGAGTTTAATTATACTAAGTTACCGAAATGTGACGAAATTCACTTTTCCTGCCCCAAAAGTATAATTTCAATGTGATGAAAAATGGGCATGGGTTTCTATATTTCCTTTATCTCTGAATTAATCATTTCAAACTATAATTAGGACTGTTGATGTGAAAGAAAATGTATCTAAATTTTACAATGACGTATGTGACGAAATTTACATTTCTTGACCCTATTTTGAAGAACCATACCCCGATTAGAATTCAATATTCTTCCAGGAATTATTAGTAGGTTATTATTCAGCAGATCATCAGAACTCAAGTTTGACAATTCTGAGTTTAATTATACTAAGTTACCGAAATGTGACGAAATTCACTTTTCCTGCCCAAAAAGTATAATTTCAATATGATGAAAAATGGGCATGGGTTTCTATATTTCCTTTATCTCTGAATTAATCATTTCAAACTATAATTAGGACTGTTGATGTGAAAGAAAATGTAATTAAATTTTACAATGACGTATGTGACGAAATTTACATTTCTTGACCCTATTTTGAAGAACCATACCCCGATTAGAATTCAATATTCTTCCAGGAATTATTAGTAGGTTATTATTCAGCAGATCATCAGAACTCAAGTTTGACAATTCTGAGTTTAATTATACTAAGTTACCGAAATGTGACGAAATTCACTTTTCCTGCCCCAAAAGTATAATTTCAATGTGATGAAAAATGGGCATGGGTTTCTATATTTCCTTTATCTCTGAATTAATCATTTCAAACTATAATTAGGACTGTTGATGTGAAAGAAAATGTATCTAAATTTTACAATGACGTATGTGACGAAATTTACATTTCTTGACCCTATTTTGAAGAACCATACCCCGATTAGAATTCAATATTCTTCCAGGAATTATTGGTAGGTTATTTTTCAGCAAATCAGAACTCAAGTTTAACAATGCTGAGTTTGATATCACTAATTTACCGAAATGTGACGAAATTTACTTTTCCTGCCCCAACAGTATAATTTCAATGTGATGAAAAATGGGCATGGGTTTCTATATTTCCTGTATAAATCCATTCCAACTATAATAAGGGCAGTTGATATGAAAGAAAATCTATCTAACTAATGCAATGGCCGATGTGACGAAATTTACAT